AACCACCTTGCGGCTATGATGGGCTGTTATTTTCTTGATAGCATGTCAAAAACGAGTACATCTCGTGGCATGTGTTCGACCCTTATTATAATTACGTTAAGGCAATAAATATCGCTTTCTAACCGAGACCTGTGATGACATCTATGACATCCCGTCGGCGGCGGCGATAACAAGTGCGTCTCAATAGTGGAGATAGCGCCTAAGATATGCTGTTGGTGATAAAAATAATAAATTAACAGACACGGCCTTCAATTGTTTGAGAATGGCGCTATTATTGTCAATGCTTTTTAAAATAGCTACTACCAGACGTCGTTTGCTGCATAATTACATGCATTATCTCGTTTTTATGACTAAAAAAAGAAATATTTAAAATGCTAAGTTTGCGACATGGTAATAAATAATAGTTACGAATATAGCGTTTTCTAAGTAGGTACAGTAAACAAAAACCTTAATAGAGATAGCATAGGCAAAATAACGTCAAATACAAATAATGTCCGCCTGTGCTTTTTTTGCGCTGCGTAACGAATGCGATAGGACAATACAAATTTCGACACTTTAATAATTTTCTAATACGGTTTATGTTAAACTGTTCGACGGTCGCATCAGACCCTAGTTCGAATGTCGGACTGACGCATCCGTCGACGCAGTGTTGTGCGATGCGCAGCGCTAGCCGTACCGTACGTAAACCGTATTTTTGTGAAAATGTGGTGCAAAATCGCATTCTTTAGCGCTGCGCAAAAATAACGGACTAAAGGACGTTATGCGTTTCGCGCTTAAGAAAGACATTTGTTCAATTTTTGATACTTCCAGCGATTTTCTCTCACCGTATCCTTTACCGAAAATCAGGGGTGCTGAAAAAATAAGCATCAGCACAACAACGGTCTAACTGTGTCGCCGTCAGTCGGGGTGTATTCTAATCGCCCGATAGCGTGCCTCGGTTCTACTAACGAGCGGGAGACCGATTTCTGAATCAGTAGAAAATCTGTTTTCTAACGAAAGGAATATATTTGAGCTCACTTGCAATGGTCCTAAATTGAATGTCCAATGGTCTAACTGTGTCGCCGTCAGTCGGGGTGTATTCTAATCGCTCGTTTCTACTAACGAGCGGGAGACCGATTTCTGAATCAGCAGAAAACCTGTTTATACGGCGACTGCGACGCAGGCAGACAGGATTTTCGGCTCATTAAAAGTTACAACAACATCAATTTAGACTTACTTAATGCTATAAATTCTCGTCTTTGTCGGCTGTTTTTGTTCCTATCTACTACACCTATGATGATGATCTCTCCGACCGATTTCGGCCATGGCCACCACTTCTACTCCTAATGTCGCTTCTGATGCAGCTATTGCAGCCGATTTTGGCAGTAAACTCCCGTGCACAGTATGGGCACGTCAGTTTGCCATTGATATAATTGTAGTTAATGGCGAAGGGAGGATCTATAGTGGTTGACCAGCTACTATTTATAGAAGGACGCATGCGAAATACTTTCTACTGATTCAAAGATCAGCCCCTGGCTGCGTTAACACGGCGCCTGCGACGGGAATTTCGCCTCATTAAAAGTTGCAACCTTCGGAGGAGGCAATTTGGGCCGCGACGACTCCGCCCGTACTTAATAACGACCCGACTTTACACTATCACTACACGTCTTCAGCAGTTCAGCTGTTCTGTTTTGTACCTACTACCTACACCTACAGGGTTACTGACAATAAGAATTATACTTGGTTTTACAGAACAACAAATAAAGTTGAAAGGAGGTTAAGGTACTCATGAAACTGAACAACTTACCCAAAAATGTTGGTCTTCCCATACAAAATGTACCAGCCAACCGAGTCAATTAGTATTTGAGGTCCAACATTTTTGGGAAAGTTGTTCAGTTTCATGAGTGCCTGCGACGGGAATTTCGCCTCATTAAAAGTTGCAACCTTCGGAGGAGGCAATTTGGGCCGCGACGACTCCGCCCGTACTTAATAACGACCCGACTTTACACTATCACTACACGTCTTCAGCAGTTCAGCTGTTTTATGTTGTACAATAAAAATTATAATAATTATTTATTTGCCTAGGAATATAATAGGTATTTTGTCGACACTGACTGCTTTTCTTGTGACATGACTCTTATATATATAAGTTTTGCGTGATAAGATTTTGCCCACTCGTAGCGCCTCTCTGTGGATGTGGAATCTACTATGCAATTATTGTTTTTGTTTTTCAAATGTCCTGTACGAGCGGCGTAGAAAAATATTCCACCTAGAGATCTTTCCCGCCGTATAACGTTTATTATCGTTTTTTTGGAGGAATAAATTTCTTTTACAGATGTATTTGAACGATTAAAACGTCTTACATACGATATTCTAAGACCTTGTATGATTGTTAGTATTACTATTATTATTAGCATCCCTGCACTGCCCCACCTGCCCCACTCGAATTAGTAAACAAACGCCTTTACGACCGTTTTACGACTACCCGCGATATTTCGGTCTCGCGCGCGCTCTTTTACGACATAATGAATTTGTTGATGAACTAGGTATTAGAAAGTTTCAAAATAGCCACCTCCGGTCACCGTCAGAAGACATGATCTGCTGAAGATTTACATGAAATAAGGCTTACTTGTTAAATAAGGCGTCAAAAGCTTTCTTACAAAAGAAAAAGACAAAATGTGTCAATCTTTTTAATAAATAATATTTTATGATCATATCATCTTCCTGCCCTTATCCCAAATCAGTTGGGGTCATTGCAATATACAAAATCATGTAGCAAAACGATTAAGCTAAAACTTATGATCAGCCGGTCGCTTGCCTGACGTCAACCCTCTTTGGGAATGCTGTTGTAGGTGGTATCACCGCCACCATGCAGTTGATTGACCATAGATGGCAGATATTCAGCCGAGGTCAAAAACTCTACGTCGTCTTTTACGAAACACCCCGAGTCGACTAGGGGTGGCAGTATTCTTAGCTGCTACCACATGGAATTATATTTTATGGTACATTCCTGTAATACCACATCTGTGGTTCAACCAGTGGTTGCGGTTGCTGGCTGTACTATTGCGGAAACGCTTTATGGCTCCTATTATCATCCTTTCATGGGCAGTTAACTAGTTAAAGACCGTATACAAATAAACTTGCCGTAACTTGTGGCTTCGCGGATCTAATCCATTATTTGAGAATTGACATGGTTCTGAGTAATGTTTTATCCTGCCAGATATTTAGAATTGGAATCATATTTTTTGATGGCGGTTTTCTATGATCTTTTATTAACTCGATAGAATTTTAAAACATTACTTTTTTTAAACCTATCTATCACATATTTGTTTTTAGGTTTATTTTCAATTGTTGTACTACGATGGATTGTAGTTTACTACACATTAAAGAAAAAGTTAATCAGTTTTAGTATCGTCTAGATCGAATCATACTGATTCTTAAATACCCAGAATTTAACGACCATGGAGTAAATACCTGCCTACCTATGTATAACAGGTGTTTTATTATTGTTATTGAATTATGATCAAAACTCCTAAAAAATCTTACTTCCCGGCGTTAGCAAAATCTTAAGGATATTTAGGTATATATAGAGTGTATTTTTATTAGTGGCGGATCCGTTAAGGGTGTGTTCTATCAATGAAACTGAACAACTTTCCCCAAGAAACATAGGTCGAAATATGAAAAAAAAATTTGGCCCTCCCATACAAATTGACCCGGCCGGCCAACACACTTAGTATGGGAAGACCAAAAATTTTTTTCGTATTTGGACCTATGTTCCTTAGGGAAAGTTGTTCAGTTTCATTGACAGAACACACCCTTAACGGATCCGCCACTAATAAAAATACACCCTATATAACATCAGCACAAAATTAATTTTTTATCTTATAAAGTTGGAAAAACTTAGAAGAAGTTTTGCTTAATATAGGATGCTTGCTTGATACCTTTGATATAAATACCTATTAATGTGATAGATAATTAATACTATTAAATACAATGTCAACTTGGTAGTTTGACTAAATGGTAATGTAGAGCCAACTTAAGCATATTATAGCGAAATTATACGCGCCCTCTCTGGTAAAGATAATTTACCTCCAACGAGGTATCTTAATCATTAATTTGCATATCGATACTAAGTTACCGCTAATATCAAGTACAGGCCTACTTACAGGGTGTTGATTTTAAATGATTATAGTAATAAAGTCACTTTCATATAACTAAAATTTAATATAGGTAGGTACAAAGCAACTGCTCTCAGAGGTCGTCGCTACAGACGTAAAGTAAAAAGATAATAGATTAGTTTGGGGTCGCCATGGCGGCCGGAGAGATCATCATTATCATCATCAAAGGTAAAAAATGCACGTTTTCTTAAATTGTTTTCCTATTTAGAAGTAAAAATAGTGCTTTAATTGCGGTTATAAATAATACTCTAATACTTTTTCGATATTGTTTCATGCTGTTTAAATTTATAGTTATTAGAATATACCTTATTGAATTTGTGAGAAGTGTTAGCCTTATTAGTTATTACAGGCCTAGAATGAACATTACATCAAGCTATGGCTTAATTACTCGACACTGGCGAAGTATTAACATCCTGTATATGAAATAGTGGGTGTACATACATCAGTCGGCGTGCAGAGAACGTCTCAGTTATGGGGAGGTTAACACATGAGGTTAATTAAGAGCAGAACGCCAACTATAACTAGCTAACTCAGACTCATGTCTGAAGGGCCATTTAGAGGTGACGATCCTATCCAATCTTCCGAATTATTTAAGGGTGAACCAGCCCAAAAAACTGAACAACTTTTCCTTAGGAACATAGATCGAAAATTGAAAAATAATAGGTTGTACCTGCCGTCTAAATAATCATAGACAGCAACCGGGACCGACGACTTAACGTGCTATCCGTAGTTCGGATCCATCTTGTTTTTCGAACAATCAGGTGGTTTAGCCTGCAATGTCTTAATCAGACTAGGAACAAAATCACAAAGTGATAAATATCAACTTTGTGACTGATCAGGTCACAATGGTCACCGGGAATTAAACCCGGAACCTTCTGCGTCGCAGGCAGTCGTACTAACCACTGCGCCACATCGGCTGTCAAACAGTTATCTAAATAGTGAGAAGAGTTAACCTAATAAATTATTACAGGTCTAGTCTAGAATTAACATTGTAATGGTATGGTTTAATTACTTGACACTGACAAAGTATTAACATCCTGTATATGAAATAGTGGGTGTACATACATCAGTCGGCGTGCAGAGAACGTCTCAGTTATGGGGAGGTTAACACATGAGGTTAATTAAGAGCAGAACGCCAACTATAACTAGCTAACTCCCCAAGTGGCATTCGGGGCTCTATAAAAGATGTATAGTAGTTCACATGTACTCCTCAAGCTGTATAAGTAAGCTGTACAAGGGCTGTATAGCTTGCTATAACTCCCTTATAGAACCCGTTTGGGCACAAATTAGACAGCTTTAAGTTCCACTATGGCTGTACAATAGCTGTACAATAGAATTATAATAGTAGTTTAAGCGGTAACGCCGAACTTAAAGCTGACTTACGGTACTATAGTGGACCCAGTGTGAACCATACAAACTCCATGAGTGTAATAAATAGTAACAAGTGGCCAATTACACAGCCTTCACAGTTATAAAATTCGACAAATGTACCCCTAGGCTACCTAAGAACCACGGTGTGTCTTTTATATTGCTATTTTTATTGTATTCCCTTAATATTATAGTTTGAGTTGTCAGTGCCACAGAAAACACCATCTAAATATCTCCGGCGGACATCAAATTGGATAAAATTCATTGCTATTACTGTTGTACCTGTTTAAGCTAATAAATAGTGTTAAATGCCATGGAAATGTAAATTTACTGTGAAATACATACATATTTATAGCTAAAATATTCACGCGCCTCGGTAAAAACGCGATATTATTTAATTTAAAGTACCTATTTAAATCACTGAGGGGAAAACTATTATTTTAAGTTTTTGATATATTGGGCTTTAAATTCATGCCATGGCAATTAGTAATAACATAAAATCAAAATTCAACCAGTCAATTTGCGTATTTTGCGTTAAATTTACATGATAATTTTGGAAATTTCTTTGGTAAATATTTTAGGTTAGTAGAAAAAAATGGTGGAAATGAAATACGGCTTAGTGAACTGCTGTAATTCCGATATAACACATTGAGCTGTATAAGGGTTCACATATGTTCCGTAAGAATGCCGTTGTCTGTGTGTAGTCCTACATCTGTACCACTACGGAGCCAAGGCCTATACATTCGTTCTGATGTGAACTTTTGTACAGCTTTAAGATGTACTTCAGGGTCAATTGTACACTTCTGTGCAGAAGTCAAAAAAAGGTTATTTTAATGTACACAAATACTTCCTACTACAAGTAATAGCTGTATAACAGTCCAAAATGGGTAAACATAACAGCCTTTAGCTGTATAACAGTCCACATGTGTTCTATTAAAATGCTAGCTCTATAACATCACACAAGTAGCCCGTTAAACAGCTGTTGCCGTAACTCTACCCCCCTATAATGCTCTTAGTCAGATGGCTGACTAAGGGATCGTTTTTAGACTATTATAACACCAACTGTCATATGCTAGCTCTATAAAATACCACAAGTAGCCCGTTAAACAGCTGTTGCCGTAACTCTACCCCCCTATAATGCTCTTAGTCAGACGGCTGACTAAGGGATCGTTTTTAGACCATTATAACACCGATTGTCGTATATAAGTACAAATCTACACTCCTATAAGTCCCTTATACAGGTAAAGGTGTAATCAATTGCAATAATGCAGCTTATAGATTACGAGTGAACTGAAATAATGCTTCAAGTACACCTGTACACTACATGTGTACTCTTAAATTGAGTAATATGCTTATTGGGTCAGACTCATGTCTGAAGGGCTGTTTACAGGTGCCGATCCGATCCAACCTCCCGAATATTTTGAGGCGTGAACCAGCCCAAGAAACTTAAAAATTTTCTCTGAGGAACAGATCAAAAATTGAAAAAAATATTATTTGGACCTGCCTTTTAGATAATACTCTAATTTCCTTATAATACCTATTTCTTGCTGTTTAACATTTTAATAATTAGAATATACCTAATTAAATTTGTGAGATGAGTTAGCCTATTAATTATTACAGGTTTAGTCTAGAATTAACATTGTAATGGTATAGTTTAATTACTCGACACTGACAAAGTATTAATTAACATCCTGTATATGAAATAGTGGGTGTACATACATCAGTCGTCGTGCAGTTAAATTTGTAGTTATTAGAATATAAGTACCTTATTAAATTTGTGAGATGAGTTAGCCTATTAATTATTACAGGTCTAGTCTAGGATTAACATTGTAATTGTATGGCTTAATTACTCGACACTGACAAAGTAGTAACATCCTGTATATGAAATAGTGGGTGTACATACATCAGTCGGCGTGCAGAGAACGTCTCAGTTATGGGGAGGTTAACACATGAGGTTAATTAAGAGCAGAACGCCAACTATAACTAGCTAACTCAGACTCATGTCTGAAGGGCTATTTACAAGTGCCGATCCTATCCATCTTTCGATTAGCACGCAGCTACAATAAATGTAAATAAATTAACCGCAAATATTACAAAGGATGGACCAGCTCGTCAAACTGAACAACTTTCCCTAAGGAACATTGGCCACAACAAATAAAATAAAAATAAAATGCCTACCATAAAAATGTGTTGGCCGGCTGGCTGGTCGGTTTGATATTTTTCATATTTCGAATTAAGTATGTTCATTGGGAAAAGTTGCTCAGTTTCGTAAACTGATTCACTCTTTAAAATATTCGTAGTAATTATTACAGTATCTAAATTTCAGAGATCTAAATATTTCCCAAAAGTATCCAATAGACCGTGTTGTTTGTCCTTTTTTTCACCATACAAACATTGATCCGAAAAAAAAAACGGTATCTAGGTTTGATATTTGTTATCGTCGTCCAAGTCTTTTTAAAAATTGTTAAGGATAGACCGTGGTTATTAAGGGATATGCTATGCAATGCAGTGCGCCCTGTAAGTATTGGATCTAATAAGGCCAAATGAAAACTGCTCTACGATAATTTTTAAAGAGGTTGAATCTAACAGCTAGATGAAATCGTTGTACCAGATCGTCGGCAATAAGTAATGCTCTTAACTCAAACTCATATTAGAATCACGACTTGAACCACTCGCGCCATAATAGATACGATTCGATCGTCATCCCGAGCATCCGCTAATTGGCTGTATATTATTTTAATTAATGACTCGGCTCGAGGTGTTTTACTAGTTTAAATTTAGATTTAAATTGGCTATTAACGATCATTATTGGTATAATGGTAATTGGATTTATAATCTTGAATGCGGTGATTATCTGATTATCTAAAAGAGTTTTATGATCAACTAATGATCATGATGATCGTTTTAGATCAAAAGCTATACAAATAAATAGTTACGAGTGTGTCATACCTAGAGGAGAATTGATCCGACTGTGAAATGGGACAAAGGGAATAACAAAAAAAGATTTAACAGTTGCCGATACAATTTGGTGAATCGCAGCGATGGGATCCGAAGTATCTCGACGCGATATGACAAGCTGAAGCCGCCGCTGACACGGCTGAATCTGCGACAGTAAACATTATTAAAAATTCCTTTCACAGCGGCCATCGAATAATGATTTGCGTCCGTCACGCCGCGCCGGGCCGCTGTCATACTTGCGCCAAATTTTCACCCGGGGGCGATTTTTACTATTTTTTGACGGCAGCCGAACGGCGGGCACTGCGTTTATTTATTAACAAAATTCGTCCGTCTGTCTAACACGTTTACTGGTCGATTCTTTTCGACTTTATGTCGTGGGAGTATGGTGGATATTTGCGGTTTTCTGTGGGTTGTTGTTAGGTCGTTTCGGCGTGCGCGCGCGTCGTTTACGAGGCCGGTAGAGTCGGCTTCGCGTCGCAGCGCACCGCGCGCTCCACCCATATCAATTTCGAATTTCGAATTCGACTAGGCCCGAATACGTTTCCTATTCGGTCCGTCCAGTAGATTGCGTTTTGTGTGTAAAACTGTTACACTAAATTAAACGCTTTAATAATAAAATAGGAGTAAAACTCCATTCGATATGTTATGTTGACCAAACTGTTGATCTGTGAAATATATCGGTCGGTTTCATAAATGGTCCAATAGACGAGACCTACCCATTTTTATATTTAATGTAAAAAAATATTATTTTAATTTAAACCAAAATGTACCCATGAAATTAAAGCGGGTTTTCTTGCTTTTATCCATATCTTCCTCAATTATCTCAATTTTATATTTCCTAAGATACAATTACTATTGTGAAAGATAGGATTGTGTTTCTGGCACATAGCTCGAAACTATCGTGCTTTGCTGATCCACCGCCAACGGCGTCTACCGCGCGTCTCCCGTCCGTCTACCGCACGGGCCCCGCGCGTCAAACGTGATGGTAACTAATAACGTGTCTCGGTACGCTAACGACGCCGTCACGACTGCATTATTTACCCACCTGATTAGTTCGCAGGAGCCAGCCGCACTAATTAGCGGTCGTGTGTCCATCATTTCCGGTTTTAGTAGGACACCGCGCTTCTGCAGTCTGTCTACGGTATGTCTATCGTGCATCTACTGACAGTCTACCGTGCTTTCCGTTCGTCTACTGTGCGTTTACTATTCGTCAACTGACTTTGATAATGATTGAACGACCCTGCCGTTCAGGCAAATACAAGGCTGAGCATACTGATTTAACTGCACTATTGTTACCTATAAGAAAAAAAGTATTTACAAGTACGCCGTATCCTCATATTTCCGCAAATCATGGTCAGTGTAGTCTGTACCACTCTCGGACCCGCATCACCGGCGATTCAATTTGATTTGTAACTGCATTATTGTTTCTTATAAGAAAAAAAGTATTTACAAGTACGCCGTATCCTCATATTTCCGCAAATCATAGTAGTCTGTAGTCACTGTAGTCTGTACCGCTCTCGGACCCGCATCATCGGCGATTCAATTTGATTTGTAACTGCACTATTGTCTCCTCCTACAAGTAAAATAA